AAATGGTGATTTTATCAAAGACTTATTAGCGGATTTGACAGGACAAGTGCAGGAAGCTATAGGAAAACAAGAATGATTCGATAAATGGAGGGTACATTATTTACCTAGTTTAACAGGTTAGTTTTATTGTAGAATAGAAAAAAAAATAACACATCAAACTGATTTCTTACATTTCAGATGCTCATCTTCTTCAAGTCTGTAATAATTTCAAGGATCCAGGTGTTCAACATTATGGAAAAGGCGTACTTTTCTCGAAGATACGTGATGAAATGGATGACACATTTTGTAGCTTACATGCTCCTATATCTTCATTAACAACAAGTGCTCCAGTAGATATGGCTGTGTTCTATAATCCTGCTGGTGGATGTTTTCACGGAGAATGCTCTGTAAGCTTAATGAATGGTACAACGAACTTAGTAAAAGATGTTCAGCCAGGTGACCGAATGGCGCTACATGGTGGCATGGTTCGATTTGTTGTCAAAACAAAATGTCAGAATCAAAAAGCAAAAATGGTTATCGTGAGTAACTGATTACAGTGTTTTTTTTCTCTAATTGAGAAGTTACCGTTTAATGAATAAGAATCATTTCCAGTTTATCGATTTGTCATATTTTCCTTCTTTTATAGGTTGAAAATAATTTAATCATTACTGCATGACACCCTATTCGTCTTTCTTCACAATGGATTATGCCATGCTCACTTGTTTCCTCAATACATGAAGTATCATGTGACATTGTATAAAATTTTGTACTTGACCAAGGTCATATAATTTTGGTCAATGATGTTGAATGTGTAACATTAGGTCATGGATTTCAAGAAGATGTTGTTCGACACTCCTACTATGGTAGTCAAAGAGTAGTGAACGATTTAGAAAGACTTGATGCAGAACAAAACAATACAGGAATCATCGAAATAAGCCAAGGAGTACTGGTGCGCAGTAAAAACACTGGTCTTGTCAAAGGGCTACAGTTCCAAGAGATATTGGTTCAATGAGTAAATATGATATTATCTGACTTCCAGTGACGGACTTGCATATTAATCATGATTCAAAGAAAAACTGTTTTGTTTTTTTCTAAAAGAGACAAATATTGAACTGTCGAATATTGAGTAAAAAGAAATTAATAGAATATCTTTATATTTTGTGATATGAAAGTGTAGGATGTGAGGTATGAGTGTGGATATAACAAAAAAGAGACGCCCACTGTCACCTGATCTCCATATCCATATTAATAAACAAAATATTCACATTCAGATGCTGCATTTCTTTCCTAACGTCTCATATTAAAGGCATATATATTATTATAAGTGAATGCGGTATGCACATACCGTTTTTTAAAGGAAATCATGTAAATCATTATTAGAGATCTCATGTTTGACCCTTTCTTTGTATTTTATTTATTTTTAATTCGAAAAATGTCCTATGCACACCAAAATATATCACACTGTACACATATACTCTTCACACTTTAAAGAATAAAAAAAATGATTTGAGATGTAGTATATCATAGAAATAGTAAAAGAAACGAAAAAATGAAAAATATATAAAAAGACTAATCGTTCTGAAAAACCGTCATCTTAATGATCTTGGAAATAATAATAATGAACTAATTGATACCATAGACGTTCTGTTGTTGCAATAAAAAGAAGATAAATGAGAAGCGATCTATAAATAATATGTCATTGTATCTTTGGTCCTTGAAATGATACCATAAAATTTACAACCAGAAATTCGATCACCAGCACTAACTTCCCGTAAAGGAGAATAAAATTCCATTGCTAATAACGATTTTCCAGCTTTGGATATAACAAGAATATATTCAATTTTGCTAATTTAGAATATAAAGATGCTGTTGGAAAATCGCCAACTATTCCCGCTTCATATTCTGACATTCTCAAAACTCTAATAACATTAAGTATACACTTCGTAATAGATAGAATTATTGTACATTTCCCACTACATAAGTGCAAGTTTTATGCACCTTTTATTTCGCTTTTTTATATAAAATATCAGATGGTCCAATTACTAATAAGAAAAAGTTGGTATCACCAATATAATTCGTTATACTAACATAAACAATGATAAAAGTCATTCCGCTGGGTCAGTATCATTTAACAATTAAAATTGACCATTACGAATATTATTAAGATTAAAATAGATATCACGTTCATCAAAAAGATTGCGTTGTCATATATAGTTAGTTCAATATTCTTGGTTTTTATTTGCTTCAGATGATATAGCATTACTGTATTCGATAGAATAAAATTATTTTGTAACGACATCAAGGCTTCAATAATGAAAGCATTCGTTGATAAATTAGAAAAAAAAGGAGCGAAAATGAGATGAACTTTAAAGACTGTTAGTCAAACACATAGTGAGTCCATTAAAATATAAGAAAATGATATAATTAGTCCTCTAATATACTTTTAAAACTTGACATGAATATATTTATTTTACGTCAAATCGAATTCAAAATTTTTCGTGAAAGTAAAATTTTACAAAAATGTTTCTTGTTGAGCTTAATTATATCAATAATAAGTTTTAAAAATATATTCGATTTAAATACAAAACAATGAAAATAAAAGAAAACATCTTTTCAAGCTTTTTCCAAGGAAAAAATGTGTTATCACAGTTAGCATCGTTGCAACGAACAGCATATGTTAAGGTTTCGATATTTATTAATACCGCTACTGTATTTTATTTATGGTATACGTATTTTCGATTGCAATATCGATAATTTCCTCCAACATTCAAAAACAAACGTGTCTTGATTGTACTTGTCATGTCGACATGATCGAAAACAACTTTCATAATGTTCATTGATCTGTTCAATTACTTACTGAATATTAAAATTTTTCACATATGAATTAGATATAAGCCTTATTATCCGCTGGATAAAAATAATTCCAGTCTATATCAAGTTTGTTCACATTAATATTATTGCTATAAACTGTTCCAGTTTAACTGATTTCATTTATATTAGTACATAAGAAATGATTGCTCCTTTGGCTGTAGGAAGAGTAATATGAAAAAAAGGATTGTGTGTGTGTGTTTACGTCGAGGTCAAAAAAAACATTCAATCGAAAAATTTTTCTATACAAGTTGACGAAAGTAAATCAGGATAGGGAGAATCTACATCTGAAGTCAGACTTTTCCAGAACTCAAATTATTTGTCTGAAAAAATCGTATCTTTCTGTATCGACAGAAATAATAATAAAAGAGTCTTCTAAGAGAATTTATAGCCCGTAAGGCAAATGCAGAATAATCCATGATTGTTTTAATGTTCTCCAATAATAAACCAAGTGACTATGAGCAAGGCTTGACAAAAGTGCCGATGAACGACTTATCTATGATATTTCATTGAGGATTAGACGAGTCGCACGGACAAGCTTTACTTGTTTTTCTTTTCATGAGTTTTTAAATGATCTACTTGCAACTTATTTCAATAAATTGAAAAGAAGTGACTTTTTTGACATCCTAAAGCAATATCCTCAACTCTAATGAACGTTTTATCTTTCCTAGCATCAAACTATGAAGCCTTCGCCTAGCTAGAGTTCGATAAGTGTTATCCAGTTAGCATTAATGTATGAAAAGTTTTATTTTTGACTGCGCAATTATTTCATTGATCAATTAAAATTGATTGTGGCAATGTTAATCTTTGGCTGTCGTAATAATGAATCTTCTTTAAGACTCTTCAGACATCATTCAATATTCCTTTTTGTATGAAAAATAATCTGAAAAGCATCTGTTACGATTGATAGCATCAATTTTGTGTAATAATACAATTCGTCACTAATATATATACGTTAAGATCTCACAATTGATAGAGGCTCTGATTGATATAAATCATCAAGTAGTCTAATTAAATTTTCCTGTGTCTGTGTTATTATTGGCTTCCTTGCCTATTACTTTGTAACATTACCAATTGTTAAATATTCGTTGACGAGCTTTATTATGCAAGGGACACAATATGTGAAGCGGATTGAAAAGAATAGCAGATGAAAGAGGATAGGAAAAATAAAAAGATAGAGATCATATAGACGTGCAATAGCACCGTAACAAAATTGTTACTATGTTGTAATCACATCAAGTTCATGGGCCAAAAGTAACTTCCATGTGGTCAGGACTCCAAACATCAGCCATGGAAGATTTATCATCACCCCACGAAGAATAGGCGTCTGGACATCTGGACTTGAAAAAGGTTGGGTTTGCCGAATGATTTTTACATGCCCTCACATTACCGTCAACTTGAACCTTTAAATTATCCGGACATTGATTCAGGATATCCCTTGTGATACAATACAAATTTCTACGGTTGCCTTCACCACCTCCAACTGGAACCAAAGCTATTGGATATGTGAAACCATCGACGAGAGAAATATCGTACCAAATGTGACCATTGTCGTCGTGAATTTCTACGAGTGTGTTGTCACCCCAGATGCCAGGTTGTTCAGCCCAGACTCCATCTGATCGGCCGTTATATCCCCAACTGTCTCCTCCAGCACCAATCCAACGACCACTGTCACCGTTGCCAATATGCACTTTGAGAGACCACGAACATTTGTTTTTCACCCCCGTTTTTACTCCAGAAACTAGACAAAAACTCGCCAATTTTTAAAATTTGTGTATCTTCTGAAATAAGTACCAAAATTAATGCCAAGAATAAGAACCAGAAAAGATTTTCCTATGTTCATCTTCGATTGTGTAAATGATCAAAATCTAATGTTCTATGTATGTTTCACAAATACACAAATGTTCCGACAATAAAGGATTGCATTTTTGTAGATTTTGTTGACTCCTATATGCAATAAGTAATGCCACTAGTTCTTTGGTACCAGCAATGAGGTACACGTATGAAACGAATAAAGTCTATCTTAGTAAGTATATAGATTAAAAACTAAACAGACTAGAACTCTTTTGCTTGAATTTTGGTGCTGATCGTACTTTTGACGAAGATTAAATTATTTTCAAGGCAACATTTCTATACAGCCTGTTTGTAGTCAGAACACACTGAAAAATTCGAGTGAAACAGATCTATGCATCACGCATATTTGTAAGAAAAACATTTTCAAAAAGATGTCTTGTAGTAGTACACCGAACTTCAATCAGAAACTGTAATATTTTCTGAATCATGAAAAAATATTAATTTTTTTACGCAGAAATCGACAACATGCAATTATTTCGATTATTTCTACACATTAGTGGTGTCTGATTTCATCGTTGGGTGTGGGTGTGGGTGTGTGGGTGTGGGTGTGGGTGTGGGTGTGGGTGTGGGTGTGGGTGTGGGTGTGGGTGTGGGTGTGGGTGTGGGTGTGGGTGTGGGTGTGGGTGTGGGT